GGCCTGCAAGGTCTGCTGATGAGCAACTAATTGTGTGTAACTGTATCCTCTTTTAATTATTACTTTGATCCTGGTATTTCTGATTCTTGTGCATCAGAACTGATTGAATCTTACTTTTCTAAAGAATGATTTTTGTTTGCATAAATGATATGCCTACTAAAATCAGAGTAATCTCAAGTGTGTGCTAACTGATTATCTTATGCAAATAACATTAAATTAATCTCGGGTAACAACCTAGTTTCATTCTAGGGAGTACAGAGATGCAATTTGAAATGCAGACTAAATGAATTACACCTTAATAAAGTTTTATTTCACATAGGGCATGGGGAATTACAGTTTAAACCAGATAAGAAAGTACAGGATTTCACCTTCTGTTGTACATTAAAGATCAGTACAGTATCAAAGATAATTGGTGTTTAATATCTGCTCAGATCTTAATAGAAGAAATAATGATTAAGAGACTTTTCATGGGTGTACCAATTTTGTTGAAATAGGATAGTGGTGCTATTGTGTGATTTCAGTCGTATAAAGATATTTCTACAGACTTTTTAATACAGCATGTGTAATCACTACAACTTACAAGGAAATGTGTATATTACAGGGAAGATAGTTTATCTTGCATATTTAACATCTTTACTAATTATAGTGTTTAAAGGACAGATAATAAAGCAGGCTACCCACAGTTGTTTAAAATCCAATAACCTCCGCTTCTGGGAAAAACTTTCTTTCCTTTTCAGTTAGGTAGTGGTGATCACCATGGTGAGATGCCGTGATCACTACTATATGTGTACTACATAAGAAAGCTGAAACTCTGCCCACATACAGGTATGATAATGGTGGATCATTAAATACAAATCAAGTCTTCCTTATCTTTCATCTGTTCTCTGGGAACAATTCATTCAGTGTGCTCTGACAATGTGTTGAATTGTAATGAGTCACTAAGAGGAAAAAATGTCTCCACAAGATGCGTGTTGCCTTTATGAACAGTGGGCGTATCACTCAAATGTCTTTCTATTAACCATATATATTCATTTCATAGCTTCTGTTGTGTTTTCATCCTCTATCCCTTTGTGTTCACCTTTGCAAGTCAATGAACTCTGAATTTATAACAAACTTCTTGGTAAGGAGTTGGTAGTCTTCTCTTAAATAAACTTGAAACAACCTACGTCTTTACTTGGATTACTGAGAGGTGAAGGTAGATAGCATCAAATATGCATCAGTTTCGACAGAGAGGTGTGAGTTGCCTGATTTTTCTACTTTTGTACTGGGGAGATGGAGCTAGAATTAATGTCAAGAACCTTTAGCACCTCAGTGCTTCTTGATTAACACTTAACAAGAAGGCAGCAGATGAATTTTCTCCAGCCAAAATGAATTGGGTTTAAAGCATGATGAGATTACATGCAGGGCTGGGATTGTGGAGTTCTTTGCTCACACACTCCCTTCTAGTGTTATTTAACTGGAACTCTCTATTCCCACATGCTCTTCTACCCTACCCCTTCCTATTATGTTAGACCTCTACCAAAAGATAAGATAAAACAGGATAAAAATGCTTCAGAGAAAACAAGTTCTGTGCAATTTGATTTTAGCTACAGATGACTTATTGTATTTAAACTTAGTTCCTTACTCCTTGTATTATTTCTTGTCAGCTGTGACAGAATTTCACACTTAGGAAAGTGTAATAAACCAGTAAGAATGAGAAACTCAGCTGCAATAAACTCTGTACTTCTTCTGGTCTAGATTAATTTAGATTTAATAGATATAAAATGAACAGATTTTGGGGAATGTCACTTCTGCAACTACAGTCTTGTTATGGTTGGATGAGTTAAATGTTCTAGGTGAATGTTGCTAGCAAATGAGATAGCAAAAACTTTCCTGCTGTGCTCAGGTCTTGTTTCAAGTTCCTTCTACCTCATGCACATCTGAATATTTCAATAAACTGACAGCTTTATTGAGAAGAGCAATGTAGTGTGAGTGCTATGGCTCCACATGGCATTTCATATTAAGGGTAGGGCCTGAGAGGTGGGCAGATGCTTATGCTTGAAAAGGATCTTGGTGAATTTGCCCTTTATCCCAGACAGCCTCTTGGGACATTGGAGGCAATCCCTGTCCTAGGTTTATGGATTGCATTAGCATCCTGCTCTGCTGCAAGACATTAACAAAAGGAATGATTTGGGGAAGAAAGCAAGGCCCATTAAGAGACTTCTATTTTGAATTTCCTGGATCAGAAACAGGAAATCTGCATGTCAGTATCTTTCAAACAATTCAGGAATTTCAGAACTATCTGATGAAGCAGAATTTTGTAAAAGCTTGCTATGACTTATATTCTGCTCAGGGAGGCAATTTGCATGAGGCAGGGTGGCTGCAGCAGAACTTAGTGTCATACTTCAGAGATACTGGAGCAGTGTATCCCCCTCTCCAGTTTCCAGTGAGTTGCCAGTGGTAATTCCCTGGAGTGCAAGAAATTTGTTTCTGGTTGGAAACAAATGTTGTGTGGCCGCTGGAGTTTCTCTTTTGTGTGGTAGTTTAACAGTGCAATTGTGGCAATGCTATCAATTGATCCAAGAATTGTCTCACTCTAAGAAATAAAGCTTAGAGCAATGGAGTTTAACTATCTGTTGTCAACTGCATTGAGCATTTGATTCCCATAACTTGATGTGAGAAGTAAAGAGGGTAGACTAAGGTCTTAGCCTAAGTAAATGTCTACAGGAGTGTGGGACATACCAGATTTTCTTTTTGGGTATTTCTGGATTAGGTTACTTTGAGAGTTGCACAAGTCAGAAATGCTTCTTTGGATGTGGAACTTGGGGTAGAGAGATCTTCCCTTTGAGCTTGTGCATTTGCTGTTTCAAGGCTGCAGATGTCTAAAGCTAAAATCTGTGACTTTGGTAGTATCTGATGAAAGACCTGTCCTCAGTTCACATTATGGATGTGGTTGGGTGGTCTTCCAGTTTTATTCAGGTGCCCCTATGACCAGGGGTTCTGATGTAATACAGGAGCAGGAACTTTTCTTACTTGTGTAGGTTGCATTAGTCTTCAGCAGTTGGCTCACAACTATTTGACTCACTCAGGGAAGACAACTGTTTGGTGTTGTCACCTGGGTTAAATGGGTCTGCAGGGGAGGCAGGCAACTTTAAGCCTTCAGCAATGCTATCAGTCAGGATCTCCAGCAACTGTTTTTGTTTATTTTAATCACAGGTTCTAAACTGTTTGAAGGACCAGGATGCTACTACTTCATCAGCCTCTGAGGAGCTCAAGTTGTACTAAGCAGAGGCAGAAAATTTTCTTGAAAGATGTATGGAAATGTTAGGGCATGGGTATAATACGTATCTGGCACTGTTCTTCTCACAAGTCTTCTATATGTCCTGAATAATGTGGGATGGCATGGCATGTTGGCTGATGCTAATATGAGGGCTTAACTTTTGTGACATCTTCTCTCCCCCTGAGCCCTTAATTCTAGGCTTGTTGACAGCATGGAATGTCTGTAAAGTCTATGAGCTTGTGAATGATGTTGGTTGGGTAACAGATGCTTCTCTTATTCTTTTTAGGTGGTGAAGATATCAACAAAAAATTTTGTTGATGCGTGTATGAAGAATACAGTTTTAAGAGAGCAAAATAGTTCAGAACAAGTACTGTAAAATTGAAGAGACTAGTTGGATGTTAATATCAACAAAGTTTCTATTATGCTGTGAAGTTCATGCCTATGTACTCCTTTTAGCCTCAGTATGAGTAGTTCTTCATCACAAATCTAACAACCTGAAGAATCCCCACTGAATCCCTACTGTGGGCACAAACACAGAACTGACATGGTTATTCTGTGTTTATGAGGAGCAGGGAAGCTTGTGAAGCCTCACACTTTCAGCCTACTGCAGAATATTTTTTTCAAATAGTGGGAGAGCCGTATTACCTGTGGCTTGAGTTGCCTAATACCAAAATATGTAGCTACTGTATGAATTTTCCAGATTTTGCATATTTAGTGGTTTTTTTTTTGTTTTTTTTTGTTTTTTTTTTTTGTGGATGTGGGTTTTGTGGGGTTGGAATTTCTGGTCTTCCTGTGAACTTTGAACAAACACTTAAGTTGCACTGGAGGGCAGGTCTGTGCCCATGTCTTCATAGGTTCAGGGGAAAAACGAGTGTTCTCATGACTTGAAAGGATTTTGAAGTTTAGGAAGGTTATAATTTACTTGCTTAGATGTCTTCCTTTGTGGTACTGCTGTTCATTGCACCTGCCATCCAAGGGTCTTTTATTTACATTATAACTGTTAATCTGATTGAGAAAATATCTTTGGTTCTTTGGATTTCTAAGGAGAATGCAATGGAAACAAGTAGCAAAAATCTTTGGACTCTTGCTGCCTTTACTGCTTGTGTCTGAATACTGTGGGTGAGGGAAGTCATGAAACCTTATTGTAGTGGAGAAGGAAATGTGATAGGATGAATGGGAGATATTAAGGTAAAGGAGGGAATGGTAGAATTTTGAGCATAAATACACAAATGTACATTTAAGGGTGCAGGAGGGAGTGGGGAAGAGAAAAGTAGTGTGTGCTGTTCTGATCAGATCAGACTATGTTGCACTTAAAGATGACCAGAGCCTGATGGGCAAAGTTGATTCAGGATATAGTCAATTTCTGAGTACTTGGCTCACGTTATCTTAATCTGGATCTCTTTAGGTAACTTTGTTCAGGTAACACTCTCTCAGTCTCTTTAATGAGGTCTTTGTTTATATACCACCATGTGCTATTCAACATTATACTCCCACCTTAAAATATGAAGAAAAAAAAAGTTGAGCAGAAGAGAGAATGCAATAGAGGTAGCAGTCTAATCTAGAAGTAGGCTCTTCATGGTTGAGTGGTTTGTTCTTGTTGGTTTTTCGTTTTGTTTGAACTATTTGGCATAACTGGTGCTTCTTGCAGTGAGTTTTGAGTTCAGCAGACCTGAGTCCAGACTGAACTAATCTAAGTCATCTTTTCTTGTTAGCTGATGGATTCTTTTCTTTATTTTTCCAGTTCCGTAAAAAAATAACTTCAAGTCCTGAAGAAAGAACAAGATCTCAGTGAAGCTCTGAACTGGGAGGAGAAAACTTTGGCATTGTAGGATTAATATCATAAAAAGACATTTAGTCCAGGAGCAGGCTCAAGTGGGTGGCAGTCCTGAGGGATTTCAGCAAGTGTGCTCTCCAGTACAGCAGGGCCAAGGAGAAGGCTGTCTCCCAGCAGTACAGCCACAGACATTGGCCCATGGTCAGCAGCCTTAGGGGGTAGGTGCAGAGCATATCCAGCAGCAGAATCAAACAGTGCAAGGAGGCATGGCCCTAAACATGAAACCACAACAAGTGGACAAGGGGCGGGAGGCCCTGGAAGTGACTGTACAGGTGAGGCTTCAGAAATTGGGCGAGGGATGGGAAGCTCCAGAGATGACAGTACAGGTACAGCCTCAGAAGCTGAGCCCACAGTGGGAGATGCCAGATGTGACTGTACAGTTGCAGTTAGAGCAGCAGGGCAAAGAAACAGCTCTCCCGCAAGTTACTGTGCAGGTACAGCCAAAGGTGCAGAGACGAGGAGGAACTGATCTCAAGGTCACTGTACAGATGCACTTTGGCTGTGAGCCGAAAAAGGTGAGCTGTATGCAGGACCAAGGTGAGGAAATATTAGAGAACGGAGAGCAGCAGACACTAAATGAAAATCAAGGAGATTCAATAGCAAGATCTGAAGGCAAGAGAGAACTGGCTGTGATGGAGTTGGTTCCACAGGGAGCTCATAGCCAAAAGCAGGATCAAGAAGGAAAGGTGTTAAAATTCCAGCATGGACAAAGCCAAGAAGATGGGAGAGAAGAAGTAACGGAGATGCAGGCTGAAAACAAAGCAGGCCTGCACGTTGAGGTGACAGATCAGCTATATGATCAAAACCAAAAGGAGGAAGAGCTGAAAGCAGACCTATCACTGCAGCAGGAAAGTCAAAGAGATACAAAGATGGAACAGGGCCAAGGTGATGGCCAAGAAGGCCCCAAAGGGGTGACTGAAGATCAACAAGAAGGCCAGGAGCAAGTGCTTAGGAAGCGCCCACGAGAGACTCCAAATTACTTTGTCTCTATACCAATAACAAATGACCAGGTATTTTTAATTTGTTGTTCCAGCAAACTGTAAAAGCCGTAAATAAGAAATGTCTCTAAGCTTGTTAAAAAGCATAGAATAGCAAGACTTTGCTACACTACCAGTGCAATAAAAAAGATTGTTATTTTATTCTCACAAGGTCTGATTGGTAAGTCTCTGCAATAGTATAATCTATTCTGTAATATTTTTTTCTAAAAGAAAGCAGCGGCTTTCACTGTCTTGAGTTGTTCCTTCCTACGTTGTTTTAAAGCTGTATTTAGTGCAGAGAAGACCAAAATTAATTTGTTCACTTCCTTCCCCACTGAATTGGAGAGTTATCATAAAATCAAAGAAAGTTTTAGACTGGAAGGGATCTCAAGGCTCACCTAGTCCCACCCTGCTGCTGCCTGCTGGCAGGGCTGCTGCCTAGCAACTCAACTGACTGGTTCCCCATTCACCCTGGCCTTGAGCACCTCCAGGGATGGGGCTTCTCTGGGCAGCTGTGTCTGGGCCCCACTGCCTTCTGAATAGAAACTTTCTTCCTAACATCCAACTTAATTCTCCCTTCTTTTAGTTTGAAAGCATTCCCCCTTGTCCTGTAACTGTCTGCCCATATAAGAAGCTGGTCCCTCTTCTGTTTATAAACTCTCCTCCAGTACTGAAAGACTGCAGTGAGATCTATCTAGAGTCTTCCCCAAGCTAAACAAGCCTAATCCCCTCAGCCTTTTGTCATAGGAAGGGAGCTCCAGCCTTCTGAGCATCTTCATGGCTGTTCCCTGGACCCACTCCAACAGCTGCGTCTTCCTTGTGCAGGTCTGGATGCAGTACTCAGGATGTGGTCCCATGAAGGCAGAGTAGAGAGGAAGAATCCCTTTCTTTTCCCTGCTACCTACCCACCCTCCTTTTGATGCAGCCCAGGGTATAGCTGGCCTTTTGGGCTGCAAGAGTTAACTGCTGGCTCACGTCTAGATTTTTGTCCATCAGAACCCACAAGTTCTTCTCTGTGGGGCTGTTCTCAGTCAGTTGTTCTCCCAGTCTGTACTTACATCTGGGATTGCCTTGACCGAAGTGCAGCACCCTGCACTTGGCCTTGTTGAACCTCATTAGGTAAGTGGAGGATGAGAGTTTTCTTCCATTACGGAAAGGGAGATGTTGATCTATTCTCCTCTCTTGCCCTCAAACTTATCCTGAAACCTTAGGTAGACAGTTAATTCCAGGAACCCACAAGTAGAGTGTGCATGCTTGTATTTCATCCATGTATATTCTGTGATTTCAATGTTTCTGAAATGTTGAGAAAGCAACAGATTTTTTTCACCTTCACGTTGTTAAACAGCAACAAACAGCAGAAATAAGCATAAGTAATTTCTTCTAGAGGTTTTGTGAGGGTTCTGAAACATTCCTGGTTAACACAGATGGTATTTCTGAAATATGTCAGGCTAGCCTTGCAGTACTAGGATTGTCGTGAAAAGTCTTATGATACAAAGACACTGTGAGAGCTGGAGAACGGTTTCACACTTTACTCTGTAACTACTTATGTAGTGCTGATTTGGAGCCTCTAACATAGGGGATTGGACTAGATGATCTCCAGAGGTGTCTTCCAACCCCTATGATTCTGTGAACTTATGCATACTATCATCCATTTTTCTCTTTTTAATATAAGGGAGAAGACTTGGCTTCCTTTGAGCTCCTCATCCCTTTTCAGCTGCTGTGTTTTGAAGCTCATGTAATCTTGTGAAAGACAGAAACAGAATGCTTCAGTCCCAGATTTGGTACTTCTACTGGGAAGTCTTATGCCATTCAGCCTTCCCCCAACAGTTGACTTGCTGACAGTATTATCTTAGTTTCTCAGTGTGCAAAAGCAGACAGAGCCCTCTGCTCTGTACTAGCACTCACCACACTCTCTTCAGCCTTTTCTTGACCCCTTACTGTGCACACAAATGTACTATGAAGAAGAAATAAAGACAAGCTTCGAGTTGGAAGTATTAAAAATAAAAATGATGCTATTACACTTGGTCGAGGGAAGTTATGATTTGAATCACAGACTGCTGTGTCCTGGCATGAGTGCAGCTAAAACAGTGTTAGTAGTGTGAACTATTAATATTAATATTCATAATGACTATGTTTCTTGAGGTCTTTTCCTGCAAAACATAAAATGCGAAATCTGAATGTTAGCTCTGTAGATGTGGAAATATACCCCTTGGCCACCAGCTCCTGCATTAGCTTATAGTGTTCTTTAATAAATTACTGTTGTTTGTTATTGTTTGTTACAGATCTTTTTTTTTTTTTTTTTTTTTTTTTTAGTTTAGGCTTCTGTACAGTATTTGGGGCAACTGAATTTACAATTCTAAAATGCAACAATTAAATAGGATGACTGTTTCTATTATACATCTTTTGTAATTTCTTTCCCCAGTGTGAGAAGTTGCAGTGGCTTGCTCTGTAAGGCTTTTGAGTTTGTTTTTGACCATAGTTAAATGTAGAAACTCTCATGTATGTGTTAGGGGAGATGTTCAAAGGTGCCTTCCTGTTCATAGGCAATTATTTTCTTTGGCTTTGTCCTGAGTGAAATAATTACTGAAGGTTATCTGGGGGATGGACCCATATAACTTTCAGTTATTCCTACGTATGACTCTTTTGAGAGGTGAACGAAAGTGCAGAGCACATTGAGAAGACAAATTCCAGGAAAGAAAAATAACTGTGTAAGCTGGAAGACAATGCTGGCAGAGGAACAGATGGGTAAGCAGTGGGCAAAGAATAAATAGAGGCTGGCAACTAGGAATGAATCTGCATGTAATCTGAGGAGTGAGATCATAGGGGGAAAAAAACATGAGAGCTTGGAAAAAAAACCATGAATGCTTAATTTATACTGCTATTTAATGAGATTTGAGTGCCCTAATATATGGCCTGTAACTGCATCCTGTATAGTTCTGAGTGTCACTTCTACCTTTCTCCTTTTCTGTCAATCCTGTTCTTCCAGATTTCCTTGGTTTTACAGCAGCTCTGGTAATCTGGCAGCTCTCTGATGTCTCTAGCTAGTTACTCTGCCCAATATATTTGGAGTTTATGCTCCTTTAAGGGCCAACCTTCAACAGTAGCAGTGACTGACAGACCTGAGTAAGGGTCTGTGTCAGGGAACAGGGTAAGGATGCTGTTGCCAGTGCTGTAGGCCTGGTATTTTCATATGGTAAGTGTGTGAATGCATACATACGTATATAGTGATTTTGAGAGCTCCCCTGATAATAGGGCTGAGGGCTTGTCTGTGTTTTCTTCCTTTTCAACAGAACAAAGGGAAAAACCCTGTTGCAATCCTGGTGGATGCATCAGCCCTTTCCTTTTGTGTGTTTCAGGAGGCAGGACGCCAGCTTCCAGCAGTGGGTTGGGGTGGATTTACTTTGTAGTCTGAAACTTTCAGTATTTTTACCAGTGCTTCCTTCCTGTCTCCCACTCCAAATAAATAAAATAATCCCATTAAAAACACAGTATTATAGGAAAATGTTACAAACTGATTCAACAAACCCTTCCAAAGCACAAAGGTATAAGAATACTTGACATTTTCTATTAGAGAAGAGGCAGAAAGCTCTGAACATGCTTTTGTGAAGCTTGCCCACTGACAAAAAACGGTAAGAAAATAATGAAAACTGTTTTGCAACCATCAGATATCTCTGTGAAGGAGTTTCACTCAAGTTTGACTTCTTAGTTGTCTGATCCTCAAACTGAGGAGGCAGAAAGGTCATCTTTCAATTGTATTCTTGGAAAGATTGTAGAAGGGGGAAGTGTGAGACTGTCTTGTGGAATTGCTGACAGTGCTCGTCCTATTCTGTTGAAGTAAAGGTTTCTAGCTTGTGTGGTCAAATATCTTGATTCCTGCTGTTTTCAGGATCTAGGCAAATATGCTGAAAGTAGCAGGCAATAATAAATTGTCCCTCAGTTACAGTAGGAAATGTCTTAGGAGTCTTTTCAACTGTATTTTTATCATAGTAATAAATTTACTATCAGTCTGGATTGAAAGGGCTCACTGTTCATATCTTCAAATGAGTTGTCTTAATTGTATCTGGCTTTATCCTGTTATTTACACTAATTTATTCTACTGTCCAGGTTGTGATGTTGTTCACGGGTCTGCACAACTGCCAAAGCTTTATGTAAAAACACTGGGGAAAAATAAACATTGACCCAGCTGTTTCAGCCTATGCAAGAATGAAGAGCTCTAACATATGTGAGCATCTAGGCATGTAAGCCAGCATGTGCTCGCTGTAATAGTCTGAAAATCCACAAATATCTGTATGATGGCTTTTACCAGGTGCTTAGTCCTTGAGTGACTGAATTCTTTTCCCACCTGCCTTTTTCTGTGATTTGTTTCTAAAACTTAACAGACTGCTACAAAAAGAAAGCCTTTCTTTGCAATCTCTGGTTGGAGCCACTTGAGGAAAAGTCATGGATGGACTCATAAGAGCCATGCAGCTCTGGAAAGCATAAAGTTGGACAGCAGCATGTTTATCAAACTGATCTACTTTATTTGCTGTTAGCTTCCTTTTGGGAAGAGACATCAGTTTAATCTGTGATCAAACTTGTAATCAGAAAATGGTGTCAGATTAATTATGGGAATGCTATTCAATTTCCTAGTCTATTAAGAGCTGACTACTGCATGATGATAGCATTAATATTTACACACTGCTGTGAGTTTTATTCAAATGTGCTTAGAGTCAGATCCAGACCTAGTTTAAGATCTAGGGTGCTGGCTCACATGAGAGCTATGTGTTTAGCCTGCAGGCTTAAAAAGGGAAAACAGATCAATCCATTGGTGGAAAAGCTAACCTAGGAGCTGAATCTGAATGTTATGTAATAGATCTTGGGGAGTGTGGGGATGGATTTTGGTTTTGCAGTTGGACTCAAACTGGGTCTGTATTTTTGTGTGTGAGATGCTTCAGCTTTCTCTATTACATATTTTTTTTTCCCTGCAATACTTGGGCACTCCAGAATAATATTTTACTTTGCTGTTTTCTATTTACTGCATTGCAGATTTTGGATAGAATTGAAGATGTCCAAGAGCTCATATTCACAAAGGAGCCTGACTTGTTGAGAGCTTTTATTCCTGTTCAGACTATGCACCTAACTGTAGTTGTTGCTCATCTGGGAACAGAAGAAGAAGTAAAAAAGTAAGAATTCTTCCAAATTCTAGTATAGTTACATAATCTGTAAATGTGATAACCTTATTTCTGTTGTGAATAATAATTTTAATGGGGCATAACCAGTTTCTTTCTGGTTTAGGATTTTCTGATCAGTTTCTGGCTTTTTTTTTTTTTTTTTTTTTTTGATACATGATGACGAAAAGGTAGATGAGATGCTTCAGGGTCTGAAATTTTGTGCATCTTTCATGGGGTGGGGGAGAAGGCAGCATGGCTGTGAATGGTATTACTGCTATGTTTTTACCGTAAATTTTCCCAAGCTGCTGCCTGTTGAGAAGCCACAGTGTTTCAGATCAGCCATGCTTGTATCAGCTGGAAAACATTACCTGATAGATCATGTTGCTGTAAGGAAAACAAAAGTCTGTCTAGTTCCTTTTCAAGATGTACTCGTTTAATTCAAGCTGGGGACTGTCAGTGGGATCCTCTAAGTTATGATGGGCAGAGCGGAAGAGGACTTATGAAAACAGCCTCATGGTCAGAAAGCTGCTAAAATGAATGTCAAAGTAGGCAGAGTGTGCTGGAACTTCTTCTCTAAGCCCTTTGCACTGAGCATGAGAAAAAAGTGAAGGAAGGTCCTCTGGCACTGGGGGAGGTATTGCCTGGTAGAGATGCAGAGAGCATCTTTCTCCAGGGGCCTTTGCCCACGTTGTGGTTGACAACCCTGCCCATGGCAGGAGTGTGGAACTAGATGATCTTTAAGGTCTTTTCCAACCTAAGCCATTCTGTGATAAGCAAGGAAATGGGGGGGGGGGGGAAGATTAAACAGAAAAAATAAGCCCAAATGTAGAGATGGCTAAGCAGGATTACAATGGAAATGCGCATACAAATCTGTCATTTGCCTTGTTCTAAATTGATCTGGTTTACTGTTCATTCAAGAAGCTTTTGGGAGGGCCTGAGGGGAAGTAGAGGAGAACCTTTATATAGGCTGAGGAGCCTGTGTGTGAAAGTCACTATGTACAGTAATTTGGTAATAAAAATCCCTGTCAGTGCTGCTGACTGGGCAGGCTGTCATCCAAGAGGATAGGAAACTAGAGGAGAGCAGTGATCAACATGGGAATCAATCAGTAGGAGAGGTGAATGAAGCAAGTGGGGTTAATGAACTTAAGAGTGAATGTGTGCCTGTAATGCAGAAATAATAGGCATACCTAATGAGAAGCAGATCTTACTTGCCAGATGCTTTTTGTCCTTTATCTTCTACCTACCTGCAGTCCTACTAAAGTTGCAGTTCAGTGGCTATGGCTCTACACTGTCATGTGGAAGAAAAGATTGCCTTAATTGTTAAGCCAGCTATTTATCTATTCATGCTAATAGCATTGCTGAAACTTACAGCAGTAGGAAAGCATCTTCAGATCTCACGACACAAGCTCTTCCAGCAGTGTTTAATGGCAGTTTGGAAACTAAGTGAGGGACCAGGTTATCTCTGCTTGTTAAGTTGGAGGAAGCAAAATTCTCTACAGAGAATTAATTCCTTTTCCACCTTTAGTGCTGTCCTCAGCAAATTCTCATTTGCACAATCTCCCGGAGTCTCAAGAAGAAGCAGCTTTGATGTAACAATTAATAATATCAATACAGTGCTCAGAACTGGTCATAATGCTGACTGCTGTAGGCTAAAATGACCTTCATCTGCATGAAATGCTTTCCTATGAAGACCAAGGCACAGAACTTGTGCCATCTGGATTGCAGTGCTGTTTTCCTGTTTGGAAAATGTAATACAATAGTAAGATAACTTTTTTAAATAATGAAGCAATGTAGTTCAAACTTCTAGGTGTAATGATAAATTCGGAAAGCAGCAGCCCACAGACTGGTTTCCTGTGATCCTCAGTTGCAAAGTATTTTGTTATATGCATAAGGCATAATTACTGGAAGGCCTCTGCTCAGATCATGGGCGTGAAGTCTGACAGGATCCCTTCTCCAGAGGCACCTGTAGCACTTCAGTGGGTATTATATTACTGAAAGACATTCACTTTTCAGGAACTAGTTAGTTAAATTCTGTTAGAATGTTTAAGTAAAATGGTTGCAGTATTTTTTTGGTAATCCAAATCTCCAAAGATTTATGTGCACAGCAAGGTGTGCATCAAAACTTTGTTATGGTGGGAGCTCTAGGTCCCATTTCAACCATGAGTTTAAGAACTGTCCTTGAGTACTGAAATATAATGGAGATGAATGTTAAATGTGCTGCAGCTGGAAATGTGGGTTTATTTAAGTTTTAGAATAAAACTAGTGAACTGGTTGAAAATTGCAGTGACAGAGGTTTAAATTTCATGACAAATAAGTTCAATTTTATCCCTTTGACTGCTTAGCAGTAACATATTTGCACAGACGTTTCTGGCATGTTAATGACTTGAACACTCACTTTTCAGCAAAACTCACTTCTACTGTGTGAACTAAAATTGAAGGTATTGAAAGACATAATTTACTTAATGCCTATGCAAAGGTATTTGTCCTGGAATATAGTGCAACTGTTACATCTTATATAGTGCTACAGAGTGACCAAAACCAGGTATATTATCTGATATCAAAAAAAGTATTTCCACATTAAGTCAGACTTTTTCAAAATACAATGGGTTTCTTAATTTTTTTTTTTTTTTTTAAGGGCTGTTTTGGCACTGAAGCAAAGCAAGACCAAAGTGGAAGCCATTTTGCAGGGTAAAGACCTTATTATGACATTTCACGGGATTGGACAGTTTAACAATCAAGTGATATATGTGAAAATGTCAGAGGAAAATCGGAAAATGCTCTGCAGAATTGCAGGTATGTGCTTAATCTGACTCTTTACTACTTGTGGTAAACTAATTTGCAAAGTCAACTTTTCCAAGTGCTGGCCTGAGCTGTTGTGCTTGCTTTGTAATATGCTGTCTTTCCTTAGTCTTTAAGTATTTAATATGAAGCTGACAGCTGCAGAAGAGCATACAAGCAAATTCTGTGTACTAATTTGGGACAGGTGAGAAGCAAAGGCATTTGTCTTGTCAAGACACAACAGCAAGGCTACTCCAGCAGACCCTGCAGACTGGATCTCACAGCCTGGTGATGTACGCAGGTTTTCAAAGTGAAACCTCAACCTTGGGGCCCTATCCATTCTAGTGAACTGGAAGCCTTGAGAGCAACTTAACTTGAATTTCCTCTAAATTAAGGCATGCATGGAATGGCTATTACTGCTTGAACAGGATGTTACAAACAGCAGTGTTTGCATGTGCATGTGTACTTCCAGCAGATTAATTTTTGCTTCCATTGCAGAAGGTGCAACCAAAGTACAGGAGTGGCTTCTGTCCCCTATTCTAAAATCTCAAAGCAGCAGTGGGTTCACAGATGTTCCAGTTCTTAACTGTTTACCTTCATCTGAATGCATCATCTGAAGGGTTTGATGCTCCTCCTACCCCCCCTTTCCCTCACTTTTTTCTGTTTTTTTTAGGAGCTTGTTTACCTGCAATGCAGAACCTACTCTGTGTTCTGGGCTTCAACTTCCAACAGAGCAGAAATAATCAATATATGCTCTTTGTTTGTGAAAGGAGGCATAGTTCAACTAATGTTTCTCAAAAAGGCATACAGCACAAAGACACTTGATCTTCAAAAGATATTTTGCTTTTTCTTTTTTCAGAGTAGTCTGTTTTCTCTTTAATGTTGCTTTATTCCTACTCCAGTTCCTAGCTTTGACAATTAGTCTTGTTCCCTTCTCCTTCTATTTATTTTTCTCTTAGTAACCAGTGTTGCAACTAGACAGAAAATGCCTCTCAACATCACCAGGTTCTTTGCATCAGCTAAACAAACCACTTCACTGCCCACTACCTTCCACTTCAGCATTCTTTTCCCTCATTGTTCCCTTCGTGGTAGGGGGTAATGTTAACTCAAAACAGCTGTGCTTCTGTTGAAAGTAGTCTGCCATTGCGCATACTTGTTAGGTTAGGTCCTCAACAAACTTCTCAATGCCCAGACTGTTTCTTCAGAATTGATCCAAAATAATCCTGACTGAAAGATGGCTAATTGGAATGTGTGTTATGTAGCTTCCCAGACCATGAGATATACGCTTCAATACCACTGGAAAAGAACTGTTTAGTGGTTTTGATGGAGCCATACTAGTTCTCTCCTCACTTTCTTCTGAAAGATGAAGTCAATGCCTCCTCTTTTCTCTTGACTATTGCTGTTTTTCCCCCTGCTCCATTTTGCTTTACTGAGAATTTTATCCCTAATGAATCAAAACACACACGATCAATCTTTATCATGCTATTTTAGCAACACCAAAAATGTTTAAATTTGGTTCTGCAGAATGTGCTATGTTTTTCTTATTTTTTTTTTTTTTTTTAAAGGCTAATGGAGCTGCATTAATACTGAAAATCTTTACAGTAGTGAGTGTCTTGATTACTTCCTTATTCCTTTTTGTTCCCTGCCTGGGTCACCTCCATCTATAGGATTCTGTAAACCCAGGGTCCGCCCTCTGATCCAAACCCCTTTCCAAATAAACTGGAGAAGAATAATTTTGATTCCAAACCATAGGAATACTTCATCTGTACTTACATCTGTTTAACGTAGTGTGATTGTTCACTGATTGTCTGAAATACTTCCTTGGCTGAGAGGCAAGCTGCCAGCTTTCAAGCTGTTACTCTGTCACCAATGGCTTTGCTATTCAGAGTGGTGTAACTTCCAGTGTTTTTCTTTCTGCATAGTTTCTGTCCATTTCTAGAACTTAATCCGGGGATTATACAAATATATAGCAAATTACATCATTTTAAATACATCTCAAATTCTTGTCCGGTTTTCCTTCTTTGCTCTTTCAGCATAGAGTAAATTGTTATATAATAAGTAGGGATTTCCTTTTCCTAACTTATAATCAGTATTTTTTAGTTGCTTGTGAGGTAGGCATGGATTTCCAAATATTGCCTTGTAAAAAAAGCTTGATGGCAAACAACTGGCAAAGGTCAAGCCACTCCTGGCAGCTGCCTCTGCCTCACTGTGCCCTTATCAAATTGTTGAAATTATCAATAACTTGTCAACAGTTCAGACCTGTTTTAATGGAGTTTTCAACCTCTGAAGTGTTCCTGGGTGTAAGAAAAAAATAAAAATGTTTGGTTGTTTGTTAGTTCTCATATCATAAACATAGAATCATTAAAGTTGGAGAAGACCTCTGAGATCATCTGGTCAAACCATCCACCTACCACCAATATTGCATACTAAACCATGTCCTTTAGTACCACGTATGTCATAGACTTCATTTTTAAAGTGGAAATTCATTCTGCATCGTGATTAATTCACTGCAGTTAATTGGTATATACTGGATAATACTGATCTCTTCTTGTCACAGTGACATTGTCTACTGTGAAGGAGGTAAAGTTTAATTTGTCATAGGATTTTCTTATTAACAAAATGAGCTAGAGAAGATAGTGCCTGGAAAACTGAGTGGTAAGCTTTGTTCTTAAACTTACTTCTTGAAGATGCATCCCAGCCTTGACTTTCCTTTCATCATCAGCCTCTTTTGTAAGATTGATAGGAAGACCTTCACTCTGCAGTAATAACTTACTGTTGCTTGGTGGGGCTGGTTTTGAGTGAAGGTAAGGAGATACTGCTCTGGTCTGATACTGTTATGCTACAATTTACTAACTTCTGTGCATCCCAAGGATGATGTTTCTCCAGATGTGTGGAGAAAAACAACTCATCTCTAGAAAGGAAGAGTTTATATTGGCCTTGTTGTGCTTTGGCCTAATGGTATAGGTGCTAGAGGAATTAGCATGTTTCTTTGTGTTAACATTCTATTTGATAAAGTACCAGAGATGCTGTAGAGGTAGTTTGGCATGTCACCATAATCACCTAGTACAGTTTTCAGATGGCCTAAAGTATCTATGTTCACACTGGACCTACAGCAAGGCTTTATTCTTTTGCAGCAGAAATTGATAGGGGCAGGTGGGCATCCTGTAAGGCATCTGAAGTGGTATGAAGTGCTTGTTCAGGTAATTGGAGACTATTTATGTATTTTCCAGATGGAAGACATAAAGCAATTGCCTTGGCAAAGTGACCAGACAGCCCCAGCTGCTGTTTCATTGCAAATACTGAAAAGAAACATTTTAATGTATTAATTAGCTAAGCTACAGGCTTGCCTTGATATGAATGCTTACTACAAACTAGTAAATAAACATGCAGTTAAACTTCCTGAAAGATGGAAACAAACAAACAAAAAAAAAAAAAAAAAAAAAAGGATGTAGGGTGCTTTCAAGCAATGTACTCATCAAAATATGATATGCTATTTGTAACACATGCTTCTATGCCAGACTACTTCTTCCAGTGCTTAAGTGATTTAGGAGTAACAGATTGGTTTAATGTTGTAGGCTCTGGCAAGAAGAACCATATAAATGTTGCAGGTTTCCAGGGCAGGTGTTGATCTTCATCTTTTTGTCTCATTTATAGATTCAAGCTATAAAGGTTCCTGTCAATAAGAAAAATTGCAAAATACTCCAGCTTCATTCAGAGCTTTCAGTGTTTTTGGAGTTATTGTTCACTGTTGAGGTGTTTCTTGTTCTGCAATAGCTGTGTTTAATTTTCTATGTTTGTAAGATTTGCAGAGGTCTGCCTGCTGGCTTCACCTTGCTGTCCTTGTGAGGCTGCATCCCACCCTTTGACATTGATGAAAACCAATGCATAGATCAACTTGATTTAATTTGGTTGGTCTTTACAGTCCTTGGCTGAAAGACCTTGAATATAAATTTTGGAGTCACGGTCACTTCTTTCAATGGGGGATAAGATCTTACTGCTTTAAACTGTGGCCAGAGTTTTTTAACTGACTTCTCTATAAATGATTCCTATCTTATCTGGAAAGGAATTCTATGGTTGTGACTTTTCCTTCTCAATTTCTGTCTTGGCTGTGGAGTTGTACTTGCTCCGTGGATCTTGATATTTCTTTTTGGTTGTATTTTGTCTACTTTGTTTCTTATTTTGTCTGTTGCCCATGACGATATGACAACTCTTTCTCTCATGCTGTGTTTTAATTACGTGTCTTGTTCAAGAAAGGAATGGTAAGTCTTATCTAACTCTTAACCTTCTAAATATTTTTCTTCATCTCCTGATTATTAGTTTTTCTTTTCCTTTACCAGAAGCTGTGGAAAACTCTTTTAATGAAATGAATCTCGACATTTCAGGGAGCAAGGATTTCAAACCACATCTCACTTTTTTAAAGCTCTCCAAGGCACCAAGACTGAAAAGAAAGGTAACTACATTTAAAACACTTCTTACTAGGAACTGTTCAAGAGACTTTCTTTCTAATGACTTTCTTTGGAGGTGTGGGAGGCTATATGGTTAAGTGAGTTCTATTGCAGTTGGAGGAAAAGGAATATTTTATTGCTTAGCAAAGCTTGTAGATAGACTGGCCAAAACAGTTAAATTTCTTCATACCCAATAGGAAGAGACAGTTTCCCATATTGTATTAAGGCTTTAAAGATAGAGTACAGAGCACTTTCCTTCTGTGGCCTGCAGAATCTGCATGAAAATACCATGTCAAGCTGATTCCATTGGATGGGATGGCTTCTAAATAATATTTATGAGAAAAAGATAAATGTCATGTTGGAAGCCAGGCTGGTGCTTTGATTTATGCTAGAAATGCATGATATGCTTTTCTAAACTTTACTGCAGCACTGTATGGTTTATCATATACAATTAAAATAAAAAAACAACTCTGATTAGAATGTTCATTTCCCAGTGGAATATGGTCCTGCTTGTTTCCAGGAATAGTTCTTGTATTTATGAGGCCAATATATTGCAAACCTGAAACAGTAAAGGAGTGTGCACAAAGAAAACAGAAAATGTTATAATAGCTGGGGAAAATGACCTTGTATTTGTGCACTTCAGTACTTCATATTGACTTGATAGCTGCCTTCTGCGTACATGGTACAATCAAAGTTGGATAGCACTGATAGTTCTGTGCTGGAGGCCTTTTTCTTTTATACTGCCTATAGGGAATTTAATGAGCACAAGTATCAGCAATATCTAATGCAAAAAAAGTACTATAGGAAAGTAAGAATTACTGATTTTTATCTAAAGCATAATCACACTTCCTTTTATTATCCAAGTCTTAAAGTTTTGGGCACCACTGAAAAGAGCTTGACTGCATTCTTTGCACTCTTCCTTCAGGTATTTATATACTTTGAGATTTCCCTGAGCAGATCTGCAGACTCAACAGCCCCAGCTTTATTAGCCTTTTCTTATAGAGAAGCCCCAGTCCCTTCACTGTCATGGTCCTTAACTGGAGTTTCTCCAGTAGTTCCATGTCTCTTACATGGGGGAATCCAGAAATGTATGCAGAGCTCCAGGTGTGGCCTTGCCAGTGCTAAATAATGGGAGGGATCATCTCTCTTCACCTGCTGGCAATACTTGGGCAGTATAGCTAGCCATCTTCGTGTGAACAAGGACACACTGACTCATGTTCAACATGGTGTCCACTAGAAGCCCCTGGGTTCTTTTCTACACAGCTGCCTACCAGTGGGCGCAGAGCTGCACTTCCCCTCACTGAGCTTCATGAGGTTCCTGTCAGCCCATCTCTCAGCCTTTCCTTCTGGATGACAGCACAATCCCCGGATGCATCAGTCACTCCTCCCTGTTTTGTATTATCTGCAAACTTACTGAGGGTGCAATCTCTCCCCATTGTCCAGATCATCAAAAAAGATGCTAAACAGGACTGGACCAAATACTGACTCCTGGGGTGCTCTGCTAGTTACTGGCCTTGTACTAGACTTCACCAATGACCACCACTCTATATCTTGCCACTCTGAGTTTTCAGTCAAGCATGTGCATCAGCAGATACTCTGAAGTTCTTAGAGGAATCAGTGTCAAAAGCATCACTGAAACCTACATAAATATCTGCTGCTCCCCCCACCTTCCAGTTATGTTGCTCATTTCTGTCCTCATTCATATGCATCTTAATGCTCTTGCTCCTAAAATACTGTTGCACTCACTGGAGCCATAATGTATAAGCAGAGTAAGGTTATGTATTCAGTTGGTTTTGGGGGCACATATGGCAGCTGAATGCTCGCATACAGTCTCTGTAGGGCTTAACCATAGATAAAGGTTTTAATCTCAAAGAGCACACTGGAATATTACCACATGGCTTTTGAGATCTGACATACCAAACTGAAAATACTAACAACTTGATTTGTCTCTTCTCAAGTCTAAATCTAAGGGGTAGGGAAGGAAAGCTGTGTATTTTTCTAATAGCCCCTTCCAGAAGACTGTTGGAAAGAAACAAATCTTCACCTTCTTAAGCACTAGAAGATGCCAAGATATAAGTTAGACAAAATATTTTTTCATGCTAGTATGGCATCACAGTTATTATGATGCCATCTACTGGCTGTAATTACTTTATAACATAAATGTATCCCTGTAATTTGAATGCTATTTACATATTTCATACAACTTCAGTGCCTTTTATATAAAGCTTAAGAAATGATGAACATATATATATATATATATATTTTTTTTTTTACATCTCAAGAATGCTTTTTCATAATAAGGTGTGTGATACAATGCAGTTCTTGCAGCCTTTGTTTCTTTCTATGGGAAAGAAGGATTTAGTCCTCTTGAAAACTTCTACAAGTTCAAACTTTAATCTCAGGAAATTGTGCATCTTTGACTTTGAGTCTGAAGGTCCCAAGAGGTCTAGGAGGGCTTTGCTTGTGTGCCATTTAGTTTGAATTACTACCAAAGGAGCAGTATATGCTGCTTGTTGATGACATTCAAAATGTGTATCACAACTCTAGCATAAATATAAAATATGGGCTCTGCAGGTTTTTCTGACCTCAGTTTACAGTGAGCCAAAAGGGAGTAGCTCACATCTTCAGAGAATCCACTACAGTGTCTGTTGCTGAAGAGCCTTTTCCAGTGCAAAAAATCAATCTCCAGTGCTGGGCACTGTCTTGCTCAGCTGTGTCAGACCAAGGCCAAGTGCCACCACTCAAAAGTGGGGGAATGTTTGCTCCTCCTTTCAAGATGCATCATGGTGCTTGATGGAGACTCAGTTGGTGCAAGTCTGCAGACGGATGCTACCCAGCCTGGACGATAGCAAGCCTATGGCATCCCTTATATTAAAATATTCTGGTTTTGATGAAAAAGGCTACTTGATAAGCTGTCTTTGATGTGATCTTACAAGAGTTTCCATCATCCTCCTAAATGTGTGGTGTACAGTTATAGCTAGTAGTGTTGAGGTGACTGATGTGCCTGGGTACCTGCCTGGCTCTGACTGATACATATGCTCAGTTATGCTCTGAAGTGCTTTGGCCATCTGGGTAGTGCTGAGGGGCAGCAGCTCCTGAGTGGTTTGTGGTGTTTGTTATTGGAGCTGCTTGCATCTGGCTTTGTCTGGGTGCCACTGGCTGTCTCTTGCCATTCCCACATGGTGCATGCCTGCTCATGCAGAGACTTGCCAAAAGGGCCGTTACAAGGAGGCTTGTAAGGAGATATCTTGTTCTTTGCGGATGTACACCCCTGAGCATTTGAGAATTAAACAAAATGATTGAGACTTCTTTGAAGGGATGTGTTGCAAAGGGTTCCTCAGAGTCTTACTAGTGTGCTTTCAGTTAGGTTCATCCTCCTCCTTCACTCCTTTATTTAAATTGGCAGCCTGTTGCTGGCAGGGACTGTGTTGTCAGCCCTGATGATCTCTGCACCGAGTAGCTAGTGCTGCTGTGCTTGAGTTTTTTGGGTGGGAGGGCTGCAAGGAAACTGCTTGGACTACAAATCAGCGTATGGGGGACTTAGGAACTATTTCCATCTTGGCAGTCCTAGTTATGGTGCTTTGATAGGCTTTGATTATGGCAGAGGAAGCTGCTTTTTCTTTGTCTGTGAAACAAATGTATCAGCATTTCAAAACATATTTGTAAGAGTAAGTGCTTCCATTCACATACTGTGTCTGCAGTAGCATTTGATTGTTGAGATACTAACAGTATCTGGCAGCTACATCAGAGTGGCAATTTTTTTTTTTTTTTTTCCTGGCTTGCTTACACGAGCTTGTTTTCACAGTCATAGAATTGTTAAGGTCAGAGAAAACCTCTAAGATCATAAGTCACAGAGTTAAATTTCTTTTGAATACTTCTCTGCTGGCAGAAGTAGCTCACCAGCTGTATTTTGAACTTGTGACATAAATACTACTGTGAAATGCGCCCATCAAGAAGGATAAATCTTTCAGTCTGTGAAGGTATCGGTGGGTTGAAAAGCTAAACAGATTTGGCTTTAAGTGAAGTAAAAAAAATCCTCCTGAAGGCAATTTGGGACTCTAGGGAATAGTTTGCCTGTGTTGTTGTGACTGCTAACTTGCTTGCAATATCTGAAATTCTGTGGATGTGCTTAAGTAATAGTAATGGAGTTAAACCTATCTGTTTCTGCATCTCTGTCTCTGTTGGTATGTTCTGGCTTGTGGGGGATTCAGCAGAAGATAAACTTAAAAATCAGCTATTAGTACTGTTATATCACTATCAACTTCAGCAGTACATTTGAAGTAGATATTGTTATCCTAATGGGGGTGGGTGGGTGAATATTTAAGCTCTACGTAAAGTACATGATATGTGTAACTTATTTGTGCATGTGTAAATGTCACAATGTTCTCTCAACATTTAGGGATTCAGAAAAATTTGTTTGGATCTGTACAAAGAATATGAAGACAGTTACTTTGGCACAGAGGTCTTCAGTCGAATTGATCTCTGTGCCATGCGCAAGAAGAAACAGGAATCTGGTTACTATTACTGTGAATGTTCAATTCATGTGGGCTCCAGAGGTGCAGAAGAGAGCAAAGAACAAGGAATGCAGACAGAAGTTGTGAAAGCAACAACCAGTGAAGCCCCTTCAAGTGCTGCTGGGGCTGAAACAAAAGTGACTGCTGTGAGCTGTAACCATGCCTTGCATTCAGTAGTAGCTGGCGATAAACCATCTGAAAACATTGCTGAGGCTTTAATTGTGAGTGAAGAGAAAGAAATCAGTGAGATGAATGGACAACCTGAAGGCACAGATGAGACTTCTCTTGCATCTGATGAAGTCTGCTCAAAGTTGGTACATGGCCTGTTGCTGAGTGTGGAAGAAGGACAAGAAAAAGCCAATATTATAGATGGTAGTCTGCAGGAAACCGAAGCAATGGAATCTGCACCTGATGTGCCAACAAGTTCAGGATGAAGTTATTATAGCTCTTTGGATCTGGTCCACCTTTGGTGATGGTGAAGGAAGGCAAGTGGTGTGGCACAGAACTGGGGAAGGAGGTAGGGACAGTGAATTTTTGACAAGAAAAAGACTTTCTTGGAGACTGACAGAACCAGAAGTAGAAAAAAAGCTCAGAAAATATCATAGAATACTGTGTCCAAATGGTGAAATGCCTGGGTCTAAAGAAAAACAAGCTGCAGGTGTCTATGTTTGCACCAAAAAGATAAATTTGTCTGGAGCATACAGGGTAAAGCAGAAGCTATGCACTGAAGCCAAAGCAGATGTCAGAAACGTGTGTTTCAGAAGCAGAGGTTTCCGCCTTGGTCACATCTCTTCCCCCTGCCCCTCTGCCTTTACCTTCTCTGTGCTGGCAGCTCCCGGCTCTGCCCTCTCCCAGGAGTGCACACAGCTGCTCTGGGTTAAGCAAGGTTCTGCGCTGTTCCTGTGACAATCATGCCTGCAAATTGTAGGGCTTCAGTTGTTGATGTGCTTTTGTGAACTATGTGGTTTAGTTCCACTAGTAGCTACTTAATGCAAAAATGTTGTCTGACTTATGGAAATGGATTGTTTTATTGCACCACAAGATACTGTAATACTAAGTATTTTTCCTTACAGGTGAGCTGTTAAGGACAGGATGGGTGATCCATAATGAACTAATTGTGTAAAAAGCCTTGGAGCAGATGAGGCACCACAGCCTTTCTGTAAAGCTTTCTCTCTTTTCTCCCTCCGAAATGTCATGGTCCTGGGACAGAACAAAACAGAACCGCATTCATTTCTGACAGGATGAGATTAAGGGCTTTGTGCCGCTGCTGGGGCTGAAGCCTTTTTGCTTTTTTTGCATGTTATCATCCGAAGCTGCACATCCGTGCTGGCGGCTCCCGGGCATAGCAGGACAGGGCCGGCAGGTGGCACTGCGGGAGAGCGGCGGCACCGGGAGCGGAGGGACAAGCTGCCCTGCTACGTACATGGGGCTTGGGCAGCTCCGGAGGGGCAATGGAGGCGGGAAAGGTGGCGAAGAGCCTGGAAAATGCTGGGCATCCCGTTCTGCTCTACCCGATTATTTAAAAATGATGTTGGTTCTTGAAAAGCCTTATTTTTTCAGGGAAATATGTGCATTGTGATGGGAGAAGTGTAGTAGTTCTTCAGAAGAAAAGTATCAGGAATATTGTGTTTGGCTTCCATACATGGTGCACAGGAATATGGCTCTGGGCAGAGCATCCAGTGTGCACTCTGTTAAACTAACATTGTGAAATTAAGCTGTCCAGCTGGTTACTGGCCGTGTGATCCTGGATGTGTGCCCTGGTTGTGGGGAACGGAGGGCAGCCAGATTTGGGGGTTGGTGTTGAGTGGGAGGACAGAGCTGGCTCTGCATGCAATAACCGCTTTGTGCTCTGCACTGAGGTTTGGAGCAGTGCTTGGCACAGCATTTATTTGTCACTCTGCTGAAGGTTGTGCACTTCTGAAAGCCTGTCCCCCAGTGGTCTTCTAAATGCAAATCTGAGAGCGGCTATTCACCGCTGCTCTGAGGTCTTCAAAATGCGGCTCAACTGCACAATGCTAGAGGGAAGGCTTTGAGATTAATTTCAGAGAGTAGTTACCAGCAAGGCTCGTAATTCTCTGCATCAGCACACTGGGGACAAAACTGTTTTCCAGAAAACTTTGCCATAAACACTGTTTCCTCAGTGTGTTTAATGATTCCCTAATTGGGCAGAGGATTGGTAGAGTCATTCATCTTGTAAACCTAAGTGGATTCAATGGCCTAGGACGGAGCACACTTTACAGTGAGCTGTACTTGTTCTTGTTGAAAATGTTAATTATCTTTTTATAGACAGATGGCACTGGAGTGTAGCAAATGTGTGGTGAACCTGTGTTCAGAAACGTCTGGGTGTTAAATGCCTACAGATTCCAATTTAAGTTTAATTCTGTTTTAGGAATTTTGTGATTCTTGCAGGGTAATTAATATCACTTATCTTAAGAGTATAGTAGCCTTGTTTTGGTATATTAAGTTAAAGTAAACACTTAAGTTATATTGCTACAATTAATCTTCATAATTTAAAATAGTGCTTAAAACAAAATGTCTACCAAATACGGTGTTCAGCTCTTTATCCTTTAATGACAACTAATTCAAAACAAGTTTCAGTAATGTTATTCAAGTTATAACAGCATATAAAAGTATACTTACACTCTCCATCATGAAAATATGTAAGTTGGGAATTTCGTTGCTCTGCTTTAGGCATAGGAATTCCTGTTTTAGTCCCCTGATGTAATTTATTCAAAATTAATTGAAATATATTTCATTATTAGTAGGTGAGATGTAGCTTATAAAAATTGCACTGAATAAGTAGATTAATTGCCCTTTGTGATTTCTATGGGTAAATAATACCTAAAATCTAGGTCTAGATGTAAGTTTGATTCATTTTTATACACTTCTGCATTTACTGTTATTTTCACGATAATGTTTTCCCCTTTGTGGCCTCTAACTTGCCTTTTTTTTTTTTAATTTCCTGTATAAGCACTAGTATTTTCTATAGAAGATGGATATAATCTGATTATTTTTTTTATTTGGGTTTAGTTTGTAACTTGAGTTACTGAAACAATGGTTCAACTTCAGAATGAGAGAGAACTTGCATTAAATATTACCCACTGGCTGTGTTTTAGATCCATATGTGGAACTGAATTACCATGATGATTGTTTTCAAAGTAAGTTAAGGAAACTTTGAGACCAGCATTTCCCCCATTCTTGGCTGATTTACTTTACTTGGATATATGTAAATTGTTCTAAGAGACAGGATGCAAAAGCTGAAATGTTCTGTAGATACCTTACTCTGGATGCTGCTAGACAAACACCAGGCCACTTGACATTTGAACAGCTGGGGTAGTTTGTGGTTCTGGACATTACACTTTTTTTGGGTGTTAAAAGCAACTGAGCAAGAGCCCGTTATATGTTATCTGGAAATAAATAAAGGTCTTGGCTAGTCCAGTTGGATTTCCCTTCCTGTAGTCCTGTATTTTCTGCATGTGCAAATCCTTCACATCAGGAAGATGTCATGTTCTCTTGTTGCTGGCATGGCAGAGCCACCAGAAAACCAGTAGCTTTGGGTTGGTGCCTTGTGGTCTTCTAGCTGTGGGTGTTAGATGCCTGATCCTGTTTTAGAGGGGATGAGTAGTGATTGGATCCTTTTACTTGCTGGGTCTCTGCTTCTTGCTGGGTTCATCTTGACAGATGTATTCTGCTGTTATTAGCCAAGGTTTCTGTCTTTGCAGTATTCTATATAATAACAGCCCTATTTTTCCTCTATTTGTGCAGTTAGAATGGAATAGCCATCTATTTGGTAGATGGGTGCAACCACATTTCTCAAAACTTTCCCATTCCTGACATTTTTCTTAGTTTTTGCCCTCATTAGTCTAATCTTGGCCTTGAAGCAGTTTATAGCACAGTCCCATTCTTGTATGGTTATCCTGAACCCCAGCTGAAGGGCTACAATTGCATAGCTTAGAGTGTGGCCTGCCTGCGGTGCTCAAGAGCCTTGATGAGATGAATCCAAGCCAAAATTACAGGTTTTCCTGTGAAGTAAATGGAAGATATCCACGTATTACACTGCAGTGAAACTACAGACATAGGACTGAAAGACACTGCTTGACGAGTACCTTCAGTCAAAAAGCATTATCCTGGGGCATACTTACTCTGCTGAACGTTCTTTGTGGAAGTGGCTAATCAGACATGTAGACGGAAAGGCACACATCTGTGGGCTGGTAAAAACCTGAGCAATTTTATGTGATTGTGTTGTACAGTTTCCTCCTCAAAACCACTACCAGATAGGCTAAAGTGTAAGTGCTGTGTAAGATTAACACATCCAGAGCTGGCTTCCCAATGTAGATTTCAGCCATTAGCCTGTGCAATGAAAATATGGGGCAAGCCTCATAAACAGTCTTTAAAAATCATAGATGGGGTTGGAAGAGGGACCTCAAAGTTCACCTAGTTCCAGCCCCCTGCCACAGCAAGGTGCTGATTGCTAGATCAGGTTGTCTCAATCTGGAGATTCAAGCATGGAAGGGATGCAACTTAGAATGGTATAATCAATCCTTTCTAGACTACATAAATAAGAAGGAAGCAGATAAGTTTAAATGATTTCACTAATGTAAGTAAGGTACTCAAAAATCATGTCATTTCCTAGATTTAAAAGAGAGTGCTTTCTAAGAAACAAGATACTTCAGGTATTCAATCCAGCTTATCTTCTGGTTATTGCATACCATTAATCCTGATGGCTGCAGGACTTGCAGTGATTCCATGCTGGTTTTTAAGAAGTGCATGTGAGAGCTGTTGCTTAGCTGACAATTATTTTTCTACCTATAAAGCAGTTACCAGCACTTCTAAAGGTGATTCTTAAAATCAGCTCTTCTCATCTCTTTTATACCCAGGAGATGCACGGTCCCCAACTGGCCACTTAGAACAATGAAAGCATGTCTACTTTTCCCACTGTTGAGAGCAGGTCTTTGTAGAGATTGTGAAGCTGCTGCTTTCATGGCCTGTGGATGGCTATACCTTCAGTTACTACTTTTGCTGAAAACTGGCAGATTGAATCTACCCTTCTGTTTCAAACAGCTCTAATTAACATACTTATGGCTTTAAATCATTGCTGTGATGAGATCAGCCATTTCCTAGTTACCTTCTCTGCCTGGGACACCTGTTTTACCCTGAGTGCATATGTTATTCCATGTGTTGCACCAGAATTTCAGCTTTTCATTATTTGGCTCACTTTTCAAGGCTCTGTAGAAGAGATGTATTTTAGTTGTGCATAAACATGATGATTTATATATGCTGTGCTGATGCAGTATGCAGATCTGAGGCCTTGTAACATAATTGCTTACACTCTGTGCTGGAAGAGAATTATTTGTTTAAGCAAAAGCTGATGAGGTTGTAGCCCTTGACAAAGGAGAAGCAGAACCAAGCAAGTCTATGGGCTGTCCTTGACAGGACCTGCTACCACTCCTGTATTTTAATATGGCAAGTGTACACTGACCGTTGTCTTGGAGTCATGAAGATGAAGTACTTTTATTGTTCATCAACCATAGAATTTGCAAGAGAAGGCTGTGTATGTGATACTGTGCCCACTTTCTATGTATAGTAACAATTTATTACCTTGTGTGGTAAGAAAGAGTGAAAAAGATAAAGCAGTCCCATGGTATCAAGCATCTGTCAGCATGTATTCAAAATAAGTATATTCCTTGCTGCCATTACCAGGACTCCTGAAACTCCTTCAGACGAAGCCTTCCCTGCTCTTGATGTTGTTAGTTATACCCCATTTCTGTGTTAAAGAAGAAATGTTTTAGGAATGCCTAAAAATATTTTGGGGTAATCTTTGTTTTCCCTGCAACTGATAAGCATTCCAGCTGCTCAGAGGAATCTGCTATTCATTTTAAGATAATCCCAGTAACTTATTTCTTACATTTCCTAATGTTTTGACATCTTTGATTTACTGAAGTAGCTGGGGATTTCTGTACTCTGGTGGAGTGGAAGTGCTGCTTCTACTTGGTAAAATTCGGTGAAAGAGACAGCTGGAAAATGGCGTCGCTGAGTATAGAAACCAAACCTGATTCCTGTCTCCTACCCTGCTGCTTACTTAGGAAGAAACTGAACAAAATATTTGGTTGGGTTTGATGGAGGGGGAAGAAAAAAAAAAAACAACCAGTTCTATTGCTACCCTCCCCCTTTTTTTTTTTTTTTTTTTTTTTATGGTGGCAGCATGACCTAGATTTGTCTAAACTACAAATGAGATTGTTTTATCCATAACTGTAAAATTAACTGATACTCTACTGTATGTTTTGGATACCTACTGCAGCTTTTTGGAAAACATTGCTGTTGAAATCTCTGCCCATGTGAGAATTAGTTCAACCTGCTGGTGAAATATTAGGCACCACATTGTTTGCTTAAGTGGAGGACTGGACCAATTTGTTTGTGAAATTAAAGGTACAGTAAACAGTGCTGTTATAGCATAATTACTTTGAATACATGAGCTTCCTTTGCCTCACCCCTCAGCACAGGACCAGAGATCCCAGAACTGGGCTGTGCCTTTCATTTGGGGTTCATATGGGGGCTACAGCCCTCCATAGCAGATTTAAGGCAGAGAACATCCTAGCAAAGAGCATTGCTGGCAAAACAGCCTCACCACTCCTGCATGTTCTGAACAGTTCCTTAAAAAGCTTTGCTGCTTTGTTATGGGGGTGATGGACCAAAGCTATACTTAAAGGCTCTAAGAGAGATTACTAGCCTCCACATCTTCCAGTGGGTTGGTCTCTGATCAGAGGTTGAGAGATGCAGCCTTAGTACATGCCCGTTTCAGTGCTGCTCGCCCAGTTCATACAAGTTGCAAAGGTAGGCAAAAGGCTGCACCAGCAGGTGGATTTAAGTCTCCAAACCTGAAAGAGCTGCTATCATCACCTTCTGTGCTACCACACTGGTGCCAGGCTTCATCTGTTCCTATTAAATTTGCCACCTGAAAAAAAAAAAATGGCATCAGCTGTCCAGAATTCACTCTGTCTTAACCATTCTGTAGAGGTGTTTTAGGACAGTCTTTAGCTAAGTTATTTCCTGTAATTTGTGTGCAACAAATCTGGAAGAAAGTGAAATACATCAGTGCTTCAGTGTCTTGCCTGCAGGAGGAGGATGCCTCAAAGATGAGAGATGACTGTCCTGGTTGAGGAAAGGCACTCAAAAGGCTCTGTTTCACAGAAAACTAGTTAAGTGGTTCAGAAAAGTCACTTAGAGACAGATATTTGCATGGTATCATCATTGCATACAGGTGCCTTCTTTCTTCTCTACTTAATGTAGATCTGGTCTTTCTGCACTTCACCTGTGGCTGTATCTCTATATGTCTGGTTTTGCAGAAGAAAATAATTGCTGAGGATGGTGAGGTGAGCTGAGCTGAGCTACAGCCCTCAGGGAGAGACCTAACGTACAATTTAGGAATGAGGGAAGAAGGCACTTCTATGGTGCGTTGTGGAAGTACCACATCAGCTCATGGGGAGTTTATCCTGATGGAGCTGCCTCTGGTGACTTCTGGCACATGGCAGCAACATCAGTTTGTCAGG